TAAAAAACTTTGATTGCAGCATATAAATTAAAAAAAAATTACAATTTAATTTTTTTTTTTTAAAATTACAATATAAATCAAAAAAATTAAAAAAAATCCATTCATTCTTGTATCTTGCTTCTTCGATTTTAGATCTAGAATTCATACCTGCACCAATTAAAACCAAAAAAAAAAATTGATTAATATAATTAAACTTCGAAATCGATCAAAACAATAACCCAGAAAAAAAAACTTGAAATCGAAAAAAAAACCCAGAAAAAAAAAAACTTGAAATCGAAAAAAAAGCCAGAAAAAAAAAACTTGAACTCGAAAAAAAAACCCAGAAAAAAAAAAAATTGAACTCGAAAAAAAACTTCAAATCGAAAAAAAAGCCAGAAAAAAACTTGGTCTCGAAAAAAACCCAGAAAAAAAAAATTAAACTCGAAAAAAAACCCAAGAATAAAAAATTAAACCCAGAAAACGAAAAAAAATTTAAATCCATTTAAATCCATTATTCGAGTAAACCCAGAAATTGAAAAAAATTTAAATCGAAAAAACCCAGAAAAAAATTAGAAATCGAAAAATAATTAAAATCCAAAAAACCCAGAAAACAATAAAAATTTAAATCGAAAAAAAATTCGATTAAAATCTGAAAAAAAAATCAAAATCGAAATTGATTAAAATTTTGATTAAAAGAAAATAGATTAAAAATTCGATTCTAATTAAAATCGATTAAAATTTAAAAAAAAAACCCAAAAATTCGATTGAAATCAAAACAATAACCCAGAAATACGATTGAAATCGATCAAAATAATAACCCAGAAAAAAAAAAGAATTTAAACAGATTACAATTTTAAAAAAATCGATAAAAAAATCAATCAAAACAAAAACCCAGAAAATTAAAACAAAACCCATAAATTCGCAAAGTCATCGGTCTTGCATGTTGTCTTCATAAACCTAGATAGCTTTAGAAGGAGAAGAAGGAGATCGAGAAAGATAAATTGAAAGAGGAGGAGGAGAAGGAGATCGAGATCGAAGGGAGAAAGAGGAGGGGAGGAGAGGAGAGAGAAAGAGGATGAAGGGTTAGGGGGATTTAAAGAGTGATTCGGTTTTTTTTTTTTAAATTTTTTTTATGGATTCGGTTCAAAAGGCACTGGTTCAAACCGGTGGCCTTTATGTATTTGGCACCGGTTTGAAGTGAACCGGTGCCTTATATCTTGGTTCATTAACCCGCGCTTTTTTTAGCCTATTTTTGGCACCGGTTTGGCATGAACCGGTGCCATTTGGAGGTTGCCTTTTTGTATTTTTCTACTAGTGATTACTTTCTCTCTCTACTTTTTTGCATACCCAATGTCAATTTACCTTTTCGATGTACTTTAACTATTCTTATTTGTGTTTATTAATTCCCGTGAAAAAGGCCCATAAGGGACTATCAAAAGGGGACGGAGGGAGTATATATTAAAAAAAAAAACATTTATGACATTTTAAAAGCATAAATATTTTGTTAAGTATTTCCTATCATATTTATTTAATACTTCATATTACTTATTCTTAAATAAATTATACCCATACGACCATTTTCTCTTCATTAGACCCATCTTCTTCACCAAAATATTAAATAAAATACTCCATTTGTTCCTAAAAATTCGACTAACTTTGCATTTGCACGGTTTCAATGAACACATCTTTGACCACTAATAATAACTTCAACTATATATAAGTAAAATTTTTTAAAAAGTTGATATTTGCAAATTTACCATAGGGAGAATCTAATAAGATCAATTTTGTTAATTTATTTTGATGGTATACATCATAAAATATGGTCAAAGTTATTTTATTTTGATCATATGAATAGTAAGTGAGTCGAACTTTCAAGAATGGAGGTAGTATATTTTTTTTAACAAATTACCTCAACTACTAAATTTTTTGTGATAGTATATTGTTACACAATTTGAAAAAAAAAATAAAAAATAAATATTATGAGTATCTTGATGTGCTTTCAGTAAGGAAATTTTGTCAAGAACTACCAATTAAAGCACGTGTTTTGAAAACAATTACCTATTAAATTTTTTTAAAAAAGAACTACCACAAAGTTGTAAACAGTTAAAGTAGCATTAACACTCTAATAATTCCAAGTAAAATATTCGGCAAGTTTCCCTCTTTACCATTACCTCATCACCATCTAAATTGACTAAATTACCCTTCTTAAAGGTAAAAGGCTAAGTGCCAGAAATTCTTGCAAAATTGTTTAGAGTGGTAGTGCTAATTAAATTTTTTACAAATTTGTGGTAATTTTTAAATTTTTTTAATAAATAATTGTTTTCAAAATACGTGCTTTAATTGGTGCTTGTTGACAAATTTTCCTTTGAGTAATTTTTAAAGGGGAGTACTAAATGCAGGATAATTTTACCTAAATGTAGAATAAGTTATTTTTTAAAAAAAAAATTATATTCCAATTTTGTCCTTGTTTTAAAATAATCCTTTACACTTTTTTTAAATGATTAAAATTAAATCAATCATTCCAACTGTTTAATTTACAACCATATTCTAACATATTCAATCTTGTATCCTATTTAATACGGGTATTCAATACTAAACAAATTCCTAGACAATAATGAAATGCACTACGACATTTTTTTGAGGTATGAAAATTATGTGTTGTAATAGATGAACAATCAAACAACATAAAATTTTCATCTTATACGACTAAGATTTTTGAAGGTCTCTAGCATCCCCTTATACAATTTCTGGGGGTCTCAAGTACCCCCCAGATAGGATTTCCGGGGGTCTCCAATACCCCCGGCTAGGATTTCCGGGGGTCTTCAGTACCCCCGGCTAAGATTTCCGGGGGTCTCTAGTACCCCCGAAAAACAAAGTCGGGGTACTAATAATGAAAAATTATAACAATTCAACAAACAAATAAAACGAAAAAAAAAACCTAAGACTGGATGGTTTATGAGCGGTGAACGACTTCTACGTCTCTAGGGCTTAGATTGAAGAATTTTAAGGGAAATGGTGGAATGAAATGAATTGCAAAAAAAAAAAAAAAAAGTGACTGAAATGAAAAAAATTGACGAGTATAATGAATTGCAAAATAAAAAATGTAAAAACAAAAAGCCCGGTGAAATGGCAAATCAGTTTTTTATTTTTAAAAAGGGTATTTCAGTCATTTTATTATTTTCATATCATTAATTAATTTCTTCATTTAGGTTATTTTGTACTGCATTAAGTACTTGAGTTTTTAAATTGGCAACATTGCCCTCCAATCCTCCATTGTCAAATTAACTTTTTCTTCAATCGTCCCACGTGGCTTTGTGAGTTCAGTTTGTCAACACAATAGTGGGATTGAGAGGATTTGGACTCCTTTTTAAAGAAAACAAAAAAACTTCTTCCTTTCCAACTTTTTTGACGAGAGCCTTTCCAAATTTAATCAACTGCAACTTGATTACATTTTTTTTTTTGGTAAATACCGAAGGCTTTAATATCAAGACATCAAGTGCATCTTCTGTTTCTTCAAGGGTTATCAATTTTAATTTATAATTAGTAAGTAGTGAATTCCAATTCGATTTTAATGGTTGATTTTTGTATTGCATGTTGGATTTTAATTAATCAGTAGTCTATACTCAATTATACAATGCAAGCACTTCTACTTCTGTCTTTCACCTCAATTGTATATTTATTTTTGATTTTTGTTATAGGAAAATGGGTCAGCAATGCAATTACCCCAAAAACAATTCTCCACAAACAAGATCATTTCTACCATTTTCATTTTCCTATGATGTGCTTTTTCTGGGACAGGTATATATTTTACTTCTTTAACAATTATGTGTTGTTTTTCGATCATAATCTCGTACTGCGGTACTGGTATCTATTATTAAGTTTTATACCCAATTTTAATTAATACGTAGTACTTCGTATGTTGATTTGGGGTTGTTCAAATTTATTCTTCCTCCATTCCAATATAATTGCAACAATTGGACCCGTTATACAATTCATCACTCTAATTTGACCACATAATATGACACAATTATAAATATGTGACATATAAAATCTGCTTTGAGATGCATAATTTTATCATTGTTGCAATATTATTAGAACGGAGAATGTATATTAAAAAAAAAAAAAGTGGTAAAACAAGAATTAAGCTTTAGGGTGTTTTGTTTTTTTGTAGTAGTTGGGAGGCATTTTGGTAAAAGCCACGCACTAAAAGAGAATAGTAAACATTCGTCTATTTAAATATACATTCTAATTATTGTTAATTTGTTATAGTAAACATTCGTCTATTTAATACTCCCTCCGTCCCCTTTTGATAGTCCGGGCATTTTTCACGGGAATTAATAAACACAAATGAGAATAGTAAAAGTACATTGAAAAAGTAAATTGACATTGGGTATGCAAAAAAGTAAAGAGAAAAAGTAATAAAAGTACATGGGTAAACAAAATTTTCATGGGAAATATAAATTTTCACAAGTATTGTTGCAAATTGGAGGGAATTTTGGTAAAAAAATTAATATTAATGATTGTTGAAAAAAATCAAATGGGGTGAATATTATGGGACTAAAATTTGTCCATAAGGAACTATCAAAAGTAGATGCGCCAAGTAGTGGAAACTTGGTAATCACTACTAACTACTCCGTATTGAAATTTTTTAGATGTACCGGATGTAGGGTATATAAAAGGATATTTTTTTTTATAAAAACGATTAAATAAGAAATAATTATCAAAATGAGTGAATTAAAATACCATTGATTCGTTGAATACACAAAATTCAACTACGAAGTACTCTTTTTTGAAACCCAAAAATAATACGTTTCATATTATTTGCAATGATTAAACATTTTTTAATCATATTTTATGTCATTACAAATAATATGAATTAAGGTAGTAAAATAAAAAGATTACATAGTAATACAATGCTTCACACTCATCATAACCAAAGCTTCACTACTACTCCCTACCTTATTCCAACCTACAAACAACCCTTATACTCTCTCTCTAACAGCTACTTGATCGATCGACCTATGGCGGAAGCAATAGCAACAGGATTAGCGGTAGAGGCTGCCAAAGCCGCGACAAAGTTGGTGACAGCTTGGGTGTTGGATGAGATAACACTTGCTTGTGGTTTCCAAGATCAACTTGTAAAGCTCCATGACAAATTCTCCAATATTCAGGCATTACTGGAGGATTTGGGAAGTGCTAAGTATGTTGAGAAGAGCAGATTTGTGAATCTTTGGCTCAAAAAGCTCACTGATCTTGCTTACTCTGCTGATGAACTCATGGATGACTATGAATATGAGTTAATCCGCAGGAAATTCGAGCTGAAGAACAACCATCCATCATTCAAGAAAAAGTGCTCCAACTTTTTTAGTAGTGCTACTAACCCTGCTGTCTTCTGTATTCGGATGAGTTGTCGGGTTCGTGAGATCCTTTCGAAGTTTGATGAGCTGCACAAGGAGGCTAAGAACAATGGTATACAGCTCGGGCAGCTAGCCAGAGAAGAATAGCATCGACTAGTGTTGGCTACTATGTTGATAATGAAGTATTGCATCAAAATCGGAAACATGCTGGCGCGAGAGGTTCAGAGTTCATTGGGAGGAAGTCTGATGAGGAGAAGTTGCTGCAAATGATTTTGAAACCTACTGGCGAGGATGTTGATCATCTTTCCACTGTTGCTGTTGTTGGAATTGGAGGTATATATTTCTTTCACTGTATTTGTTCTTGTGCCTTACATAATAATGCATAATTAAAAACATTGTCATTATAATGTTAATCAGTCAAAGCACAACTAATGACTTGGATACTAAATATGATCTGACCTGATTAATAAATTAATAGTTTGCACATTCTACTATATGATCACAATTCTCTCTAAATCTTAAAACACTCATAAAAAAAACATTACTCTGTTATGTATATCTTGTCTTGATGTAAGGTCATGTACGTATTTACATAACAGTGTACTAAGCATTCATATCACTCGTAGTTAAAAGTAAAATAATTTTTTTTTAAATATGTAATTACGATCTGACAATTGATATCTCCTTTTCATTTATCACTTCTTTTTGATTTTGAACATAATTCATTTCTATCCCACTGTCCCAGAACTAATTTTCTTACAATTTCAAATGGATATCGTCTATGTTTTCCAGAAGAAATTGCCTTTTAAAAAAAAAAAAAATCAAATATCACATACCTTTTTAAGGTTCAATATTTCCTCTCAAATTATTAGAAATAAGAATTAAGTGCTATGTTTAAACAAACTTTGGCTTTGATAATAAATCAAGAGTCCCTTCACCTTTAGCACTTGCAACATTTATTCTTTTGAATTTTGATACCTCTCAATTAGTTATTACCACATTGCTTGGAGGCTCTCACAAATTATAATGGATAATAATCTTTTATCTTGTGTAAACAGGACTTGGCAAGACAACTATAGCTCGGAGGCTATATGATCATGAGAATGTTAACGCGAATTTTGGCGAGAAAAGTTGGATTTGTGTGTCTGAGGATTTCAAAGTTGACAGACTTTTGAATGAGATGGTTGAAAATCTTACATCATCCAAATGTGACTTGACAAACACTGGTGGAATTACAAAAAAACTTGGAAGTACTGTTGAAGGGGAAGAAATTCTTTCTGGTGCTTGATGTTTGGGAAGACAATCAAGACTCATGGAATTCCTTCAAAAATGCATTGCTGAGTATTGGCGATCTATGTGGTTGTGTAATTTTGATTACCACCCGCAGCATTGACGTCGCAGAGAAAGCACGTGCCTTCTATCAACATAAATTGCCAGGTTTATCTGAAGATGAAGGATGGGCTATGTTACAACAAAGAGTTTTTAGTGAGACATGTCCATATGATACTTCTTTCAATTATGTTGGGAGAAGAATTGTTAACAAGTGTAAAGGTGTTCCTTTGGCCATAAAAGCAATCGGTGGCACATTGCAGTCAAAGAAGCACGTGTATGAATGGGAATTGATTGAGAATAGTGAACAATGGGATTTTCAACCAGGAGATATAAATGATATCCTTCCATCATTAATATTGAGCTTCAACCATTTGAATCATGTGTACGTTAGGCAATGTTTTGCATATTGCGCAATCTTCCCTAAAGATTTTAATATGAACTAGCATCAATTCATTAATCTGTGGTTGACACAAGGTTTTCTTCATGATAAATCTGCAACTAGCAGCTCCACTTTGACAATGGAATTGGTTGGTGAGACATATTTTAATATCTTGCTGAATCATTCCTTCTTAGAAAAGAAAGAAGGTTATTACGTTGATGGAATAAGGTACAAGATGCACGATTTAGTGCATGATCTTGCTGCCTACATTTTAGAGAATGAATTGTTGGTCTGGAAAGTTGGAAGCAAACGGGTAGATTTCTCCCATGTTCGACATTTGGTGTTTGATTTAGCAGAGAATGAATCGCCACCTGAAACTTTTTCTCATTGGTTGACGACAAGAAAGCTAAGAACATTATGTTTTCGGGGTAGCGTGCCAAGCTGGAAAAACTTGTTTGGCAGTGCAAGATTTGTGCGAGTATTAATCATGGATGATCTTGGGCTAACAGAGGTTCCATTTTTTATTGGGCAGCTTGTTCATTTAAGGTATCTTGACCTATCTTATAATGATTTTGATATACTGCCGGCATGCATTTGCAAACTTTATGAGCTACAAACACTTAGAATATTTGGTTGCAGTAAACTGGAACCACTACCCAGGGAATTGCATAGGTTGGAAAACTTAAGACACATATTGACACAAGATACCCTGTTGGCATCAACAAGACTACGACAGTTAACTAACCTTCAGACTTTACCTCCCCTTGAGCTGCGTGATGGTGAAGGATGGACCATTGATGAACTAGGACCTTTAGATCAACTTAAGGGTGAGGTGATAATCAGAGGTCTTCAACATGTGAAAAACAAAGAAGAAGCAAGACAAGCTGGGCTTGGAAGGAAGGACAAGATTGTGAAACTACATTTGCAGTGGCGTGATGATAGAGAAGCAGTCTCTCAAGTCAACAATGATGAGGATGTTTTGGATAGCCTTGAACCTCATTCTAACTTACAGTCATTATACGTGGATATGTTCATGGGTGTGAGGTTTCCTTGGTGGATAATGACAGCACATATGAATCTTGTAGAGGTGAGGCTATTACGTTGCCTGAGATGCCTAGAGCTTCCTTCGCTTGGGCAACTACCTTTATTGAGGATCTTGATGGTTGGTATGTTGGATGATTTGGAATGTATAGGGGAGACATTTTATTAAAGTGGACATAACAACTCTAGTGCCGGTATTGAGGCCATTGTGGTTGGGAGTGCAGAAAAAAAGGTATTATTTCCATCTTTACAAGAGCTTCGCATTATGACTTGTAAAAGGCTGACCATGTGGATGCCAGCATCACCCTATATACAATCAGAAATTTTATTTCCTAAACTTGAAACTCTTGAGATACAAAGATGCCCGCAACTTGAAAAGGTACCTTGTTTACAGTTACAATCAGTGAAGGATTTGAAACTTGACAAAGTTGGTGACACACAATCCTTGAAAATGGAAAAAATGAAGGTCCTACCTCAAAAGCTGTCATATTTTTCAAAGTTGGAGAATTTGACTGTGAGGTATTGTGAAAACATGAAGAGTATACCCAATGGCCTGATGTCCCTTAAGAAATTGGCGGTACAGAAATGCCCATCACTGGCTTGTATTCCAGATGACCTCTCTTCTCTGAATACATTGGAAATTCGAGTATGCCCATTGCTAGCTTGTATTCCAGATGGCCTCTCGTCTCTGCGTGAATTGATTGTTATTGATTGTGAAGGGTTACAAAGTTTGCCAAAAAGTCTAAAGGAATGTTCATCTTTAGAGCTCGTGTGTATTTGTGAGTGTCCACTGATTAAGGGTCCCATCCCAGATTTGGGCAGATTGGAGGGACTTGTAAAATTGTATTTGATAAATTCAGGGGAGTTGATGATTCCCTGTCTGCAGTGGATCCCAAATCTTCATAGCCTTTGGGAATTAAAAATTGGTGGATTTGGAAATACCCCGAATCTTCCTAAGCTTACGTATCCCCATTCCCTAAGGAACCTATCATTGCAAGACTTCCCTAATATCAAGTTTCTGCATCAACAATTCCTCCCTTCTACCCTTCATTCTCTAGAAATTTTTAGATTTGATGAATTGGAACAAATTCCAGAGTGGATAGGCAACCTGTCATCTCTTCAGTCCTTGACTTTACTGCACTGCAACAAGTTGAAATGTCTTCTACCTTTAAAACATGCCACATTACAAGCTCTATATATTGCTGACTGCCCACTTTTGACAGAAAGATGTGCCAAAGACGGTGGATATGAATGGCCTCACATCTCACATATCCCAAATATTCATATCAGTTAGCAAAATGGCCTAGCCTCATTGCTACCGTTTCAGGTCATATTTTTAATTCTTTAGGGTAGCTTTTAACATGTATTCATTTTCGCTGTATGTTAATAGGTAGATTCTTTAAATGGTACTCGTAGTATGATTATCTTTACATGTCTTAATTTTAAAGTTTGTCAACTGTTTTAGTTGGTCTTAATGTCTAATACAAACCATTATTCTCCTGAATTGTTAAACAGCTGTTTCAGGTCCTTTGCAAAGATTAGAGATGATCGATGTTTGGAGTGGATTCTGCTCTTTAATCTCAAAAGCACATCAGCTTTCAAAATTAAATAATGTATATGTATGTATTCTTCGAGTTGTGACAAAGCTTGACTATAGTAGTCAATCCTTATCATGTATGTCATTGACTTACAGTTCACTTGAATTTACAATCTATTTTAGCAGTCACAAACTTTGCAGTTTTAATTACGAAGTATGTAGGACTGTAGGAGAGTAGATTTGTGGAAACTCTGAAGAGTTTTGTGGGTGGTCAGGCTAGGTGGAGCAGTGTTAATTAAAAATGCTCCACAGGTTAATTATGTTAGATGATCATGTTAAGATAAAAATATATGTTAGAAGATAATGGGACATGGTCCACATAGACTTTAGAAGAATTGCCGCCCGGGAAACGTGCCCTTGGTAGCCAGTGGGTATACAAAGCAAAATATTTTATTTGAGAGATATTGAACGTCTCAAGTCAAGATTAGTGGTGTTCGACAATCATCAAAAACCGGGCATTGACTATAATGAAACTTTTACTCCTGTTGTAAAGATGACTACAGTACGGGCTTTCTTAGCTATTGCTGCATCTAAGAATTGGGAACTTCACCAGATGAATGTTCACAATGCATTTCTTCACGGTGACTTTGATGAAGAATTCTACATGAAATTGCCTTTGTTTTTTCCACCTTTAGAAATACATCAATTTAGTGGAAACTCAATTTATTATGTGTGGATGACCTTGATGTGGAAAAAAATAGACCTCTTTCCTTTTTTTTTTCTTTTTTTACAATACCTCTCTATTGTGGCATTTAGTAACCCCCCTTTCCTAACCTATGGGACAATAAATTAGTAAAAAAAAAAAATTATGAATTTCCCCAAATCATGTAAATATCACTCACAAAGTACATGACAGTTGCTAAAGCCCTGATATTATAGTCACATCACATTTTTAAATACTCCCTCCATTTCTTATTTCTTGCAACAAAGGGGGTTGCACGGTTTCCAAGTTAAAGTTTTTAAGCATAATTATTAAAAAGTAAGGGCATGTAAATAATGTAATTAAGGAGAAAGAGTGAATAATTAATTAAACAACTAAAAGTTCAGCACCCACACGCCACCAGAACCACCAGCAACGAAAAGCTACCACCTAGAACCACCAACGAAACCACCCGAAACCACCCAACGAAACCACCCGAAACCACCCAGATAGCTAGAACCCACGCCACCCACAACCACCACCCAGACCCACCACACCAAACCCACGAAACCACCAAAATCCCTACTCCACCCCTGCGAAACCACCAACACCATCGAAAACGACCAGCTCAAGAACCACGCCACTAACCCCACGACCCTTCTCCACCCCTGTGAAACCAAAAACCAAAAAAAAAAACCACCTTTACCACCTTTACCACCGAACCACAAAAACCCACGACACCACCTGCAAAATCATCGACGAACCACCAAACTCACCAACAATCAGATCTGAAACCCACTAAAAGGGTGGTTTGGAATTTGATTATGAAAGATGAAGATGATGAAATGATAGATGAAGAAGGAGAGAGAAAGATAATGGGTTTGATTATTTGGGTGTGATTTCATACATAATTAATTTAGATTAAGGTTATAATGGATTGTTATTATGTGTAGCATTATGTGTTAAAAAATTTTAAATAAGAGTATATGGGTCAAAATAACAGAAAAAAGTTTCCAAATAAGGAAAAAAATAAGTTTGTTGCAAGAAATATGCCACACCCCAAAATGGCAAATGTTGCAAATATATAGATATTGCAAATCTGTAGAAATTTAAATAGAATATTACTACTTCCTTTCCTTACTCCTTAGTTGCAAATACGGAGTACAGAGTAATAAAAACGGAGATACTCCATAGCATAAAAAAAATAAAATAAAATAAAAAATTGCACAATTGGTTTGGACGTGGCATGACTTACAAAATTAATTGCATAGTAGCACATGAACTTTTCCAATCGTACATAACTTGTTACTTGAGTATAATTGTGCAAAGCCACGCGTTAAAGAGTAAAATCATCAAATTGAGGAACTAGAAATGGAGGAAAGTTATGTATTTATTAATGCATAATATTGATTAAAATATTATAAAAACACATGGTAAAGAGAGAAAAGATGAGAGAGATAGAAAGAGAAAGGCATGTAGGTGGATCACACCTATATTTTGATCAGATTGTATCACGTGATGGGGGACTACATGTTGATTGTTCCACTGAAAGTTTATATAGTACTATTGAATCCTCAGTGGTACTATTTACACATAAATTTAGTACAATGAATGCATATATAATACCATTATGTGCACATATAGTATATCTGTATATTCAATGGTACCATTTGATCATCCAATGATATCAGAATATTTATTCGTTTGTATATATGCATAATTACATAAATACCCTTTGTTATGCATTTCTAAATGCCTAACATTCCTCCCTTTAAAATTCCTCCATCAAATTGCCTCCCTTTTTTACTTCTATTTTACAAAATTATTTTGAAAAAGGGGATACAAACATTCAAACCTTAGCTTCTTTAATAATCGTCTTGCATTTGGAAGATAAATTGGGAGATAAATTGCAGCCAATGATTCTTAATTCTTTCGTCTAGGAACTTAGATCGTCTTCCCACAGTTGCCAATTCGCCATTGTTGGAAGTGGAGTTAAATTTACTGTCTTATTGTTCTTGAAATCTGTTACATTTTGATATGGTAGGATTTACTCCCACCGACAGAAAGAATTTTTATTTATTTTTTCAAATTTGATCTATAATCTAATTGTATCTGTATGATATTAGTTTATTTTTTTCACTCTAATCTTCATATTGATTTTAGGAGAATTTTGAAGGTGTTAAAAATAGTATAGTAATGGGATTTGTTGAAAAATTAGATACGCAGTATGAGAACTGATTGAGGCATATTGGCAAGTTGAAACATTCATAGCCTCATAGGGCATGTTCTCTTCGGTTCAACTTTAATAAGGGTCTGTTCCGATTGACTGAACTCAGCTGAACTGAACTGAACTGAACTGAACTTATTAATTAGTGATTTTTAACTACGGATTAGTGATCTTTGATTATTTATTACTATACATATGTGTATATACAAATGTACATATTAAAATATTTATGAAAAATATACTATATAATTATAATTATATGTATGGAAAATATATTAAAAACTTGAAACCTCTAAACATTTTAAACACATATACTATTTATTATTATTATTATTATTATTATTATTATTTATTGATGATTATTATTATTATTTATTGATTATTATTATTATTTCAATTATTATTGTTATTATTATTATTATTATTATTATTATTGTTTTTGTTGATGTTGTCGTTATAATAAGAGCTTAAAAGAATGAAATTTGGCTTTATATCATTAGCAATATCATTAGACATAAATTAAGAGTTGAGCTGAACTGAACTGAACTGAACTGAACTTATTAATTAGTGATTTTTAACTACGGATTAGTGATCTTTGATTATTTATTACTATACATATGTGTATATACAAATGTACATATTAAAATATTTATGAAAAATATACTATATAATTATAATTATATGTATGGAAAATATATTAAAAACTTGAAACCTCTAAACATTTTAAACACATATACTATTTATTATTATTATTATTATTATTATTATTATTATTTATTGATGATTATTATTATTATTTATTGATTATTATTATTATTTCAATTATTATTGTTATTATTATTATTATTATTATTATTATTATTATTATTATTATTATTATTATTGTTTTTGTTGATGTTGTCGTTATAATAAGAGCTTAAAAGAATGAAATTTGGCTTTATATCATTAGCAATATCATTAGACATAAATTAAGAGCTGAGCTGAACTGAACTGAACTGAACTGAACTTATTAATTAGTGATTTTTAACTACGGATTAGTGATCTTTGATTATTTATTACTATACATATGTGTATATACAAATGTACATATTAAAATATTTATGAAAAATATACTATATAATTATAATTATATGTATGGAAAATATATTAAAAACTTGAAACCTCTAAACATTTTAAACACATATACTATTTATTATTATTATTATTATTATTATTATTATTATTATTATTATTATTTATTGATGATTATTATTATTATTTATTGATTATTATTATTATTTCAATTATTATTGTTATTATTATTATTATTATTATTATTATTATTATTGTTTTTGTTGATGTTGTCGTTATAATAAGAGCTTAAAAGAATGAAATTTGGCTTTATATCATTAGCAATATCATTAGACATAAATTAAGAGCTGAGCTGAAATGAACTGAACTGAACTGAACTGAGCTGAGCTGAACTGAACTGAACTGAACTGAACTGAACTGAATTTCAACGGAACAGAACATGCCCTAAGTTCTATTCAATTTCTTTCTCTTATAAACAATTAACTTCGGCTCTATTTAGTTCAGTTCGGTTCAGTTTAAGTTCAGTTTAGTTCAACTCAGTAAATAAAAACAAGCCCTTAACCATTAACAACTTAACACGTCTTGTTTAATCCACGATCTAAAAAATTTAACACATATTATGAACTTTATGGTACACTCAATGTAATTCTTTTGTTTTCTTTTAATTATAACATGATCTCATTAAACAATCTTTAAGCAAAACAATTAAGGCTTGTTTGGTTGACAAAGGAATTAATTTTCTATGAGCATTTGTATTTAATGGGAATTAAAATCCCACATCAATTT